GCCCTAGGCCCCGCCCTAGGCCCCGCCCCTTCCCCCGACCTCCCTGGGGGACCGTCCCCCGTCCTCGTCGATCCCGGTCTCGGGTTCTCTCCGCGGGCTCCGCCCCTTGTCCCTGAGGCCCCGCCCTCACCGACCCACAGCATCAAGGCGCTGGCGCCCCAGCACAGGTAGGCGGTCACCAGGTAGGATATGTGTGGCCTCGGTTTTAGCATCTCACAGTTGACTACAAAGAGCGTCAGGCTGAGGATAGTCAGGAACCCTGCACTCGGGTGGGGCCAGAGAAGGACACGAGGCTGGACAGAGACCCCAGGACCCCCAGAAAGAGAAGAGAGACAGGACATCCTCTCTCACCGTCCATGACAAGAATACACACACACATGGACGGGTGCACACACACACACCTGGAAGATAGCCCTACTAGGAAAGACAGAAAAAGAACTAAGGATGCACACAGTGGGGCAGAGATCCCAGAGAGACTTTCAGGGACAGACCCACCTGACGGCAGGACAAACAGATACACCTCCCGAAAGCCAGAATGAGACCCCAGGGGAAAGATGCTGGGGAGGGAAGGGCACCCCCATCCCCCCCCACCCCCAGCTGACACTTACCAACGCTGAAGCTGAGGAAGCTGAAGACGAGGTCGACCTTGTTCAGACGGCGCAGGAACGGCCAGAAGGACAGCCCCATGGTGAAGAGGAGGATCACACACAGGGCCAAGGCCAGCACCATGAAGCCCGTGCTCATGTGGATGAGAACTGGGGGGGGTGGGGGGGAGATAAATGCTCCAGAGGCACCCCCAGACACCCTCAACGGTCAGCCTACAAACTCACCCCCTCCAACATCCATGGGCAGCATCCCCCACAGACACCCCCATGTGTGATGACAGACACCCTCAAAGTCACTCCCATTCCCACCGCCAAAGCCAGCTCTTAGCAACCCCACAATGGCCCCCCCTCTCGCTCGCAAAGTTACCCCGAGGCACCTGGTAAACTCAAAGTCATCCCCACTCACGCCCCCAAAGTTGTCCCAAATCACCCTCCTATTTACCCCAAAATCAACTCCTGACATCCACCTAAATAACCACCCATACCACCGAGGTCACCCCACAGATCACCCCGGAGTCATTCTCACTCACATCCTCAAGGTCACTCCACAGAACTATCTCAATCATTTCTAGAGTCACCCCTGCAGACACCCCCAAAGTCATCCTACTCACACTCCCAAAAGATACCCTACAGCAACTTACATTAACACCTTCGGTATCACTCCAAAACGCTCTCGATAGCGCCCTCAAAGTTATCCGAGACACTTCAGCCACTTTAGCTATCTCTAGTCACCCTACTTCTCTCCCACTCACACCCCAAGGTCCCCTAGTGACCCATCCACATCCCCAGAACCTCCCCCAGTGTAGCCCCTATGCACACCCCAGAGCCTCCCCCACTGACCTTCTCCACATCACCCCCACACCCCCAGAGCACCCACACAGATGTACACACAAGAAAAACTTCCAATCAAATACTCTAAACCAGTAGACCTGAAAGACGTCATCACCCTCACTTGAGAATCCATAGTTATCCAAGTCACACTGCAGTGTGACCACAGGGTGAGCTCCTTCCGAGAACTGCATCTCCTCCTGTGAGCCCCTTCCTACTTTGCCTACTTTTGAACAGTGCAAGACTGTCTCAGCCAAATGAGCTAAGACTCTGTCTGCCTTGTTTCTGGCAAACTGCACATCTCTAACACCTAACCGGCAAACAAAAGGGTAGTCCCACGGACAGGCTAGCAGTGGTGCTCTCTGAATCAATCGCCCAATCCTGGTTGAGGGCTTCTCATGACACACTCTGCCCTCTGGAGCCATAGGGGTAGTCGTATGACTCTGGCTGAGCCAATCACAGTGCCCCATGCCCCAGACCATGGTGATTGGCCCAAAGATGGGCACATGACCAAAACCAACCAATCAATCTCTGCCCTGGGACTTTCTCTAACAGAAACTGTCAGGGAGAAGCCCTCTCGCCTCTAGTCAATAGGATTATGAGCCTGGAGCTGCCTGAGCCTTGGACCCAGCCTCCTGGAGGATGGGAGACCTGAGAGAGTAAAACTAAAAGGGGAAAGTGGACAAAAGAAGGAAAGAAAGAGTTGAGATAGCATGCAAGTCCCTGGCCCTTGTCATCCCAGACACCAGCGCCCCCTGGGGTGGATGTTTGTGGCTTCCCTCCCCACCACGCCTTGAACCCTCCTTTCCATTCCCCACTCTCAGCCCCCATTACAAGCCAAGCATTGCACTTCTCTGGACACCATGCCTGGTTTGAGGTACCTATGTGACCCAGTCACACAGAACTTCCACGGGAGCTTTTCATATTCCTTCCCGCTGGGCTTAAGGCCCAAGTTGTTAGCAATTCTGCCAGTCATTCATCTGTCTGCTCTCGGGTCCATCCTCCTCCACCTTTCCCTTTTCTATATTGTAAGGACTACATTTCCCAGCCTCCTTTGCTCACTGGTTTATCAGTCTGTTTGGCTAATGGGAGGCACTGGCAGAAGACTAGCTGGGAGGAGGGGACGAGCCAGGGTATTTAACTCCACCTCTCTCTCTGTCCCAGCTGCATTTCTTCTGTGACTGTAACCACTCCTAAGCAAATCCCACAGTCAGTCTGTCCCTCCAGATGGCTCCAGATGGCTCCAGATGGCTCCAGCTCCTGAGCTCTGGTCATACCATCTCCTTCCTATGTCCTTCTGGCCTAGGGGTGCAGCGACTTCCTGAGCCACTAACCCTGCTCTGTCTCGCCATTCCCTACTTGGCTTCTCAGCGATTCTGTTACCTAGGAAAGGAATTCCCTGAATTTGCTTCCCTCCGAAGCATCTAGAATAATTTATTGTCCCAACTAGATCCTGACTGCCACTCCATGGAGCTTGGAGAATAAAGCCAATTGAAGTAGCCAAGAGACAGAGAGAAGACGATGATGTTCGATATTATCACTTGGACCCCTGAATTCAGCCACCCTGAAAGCATTTCTACCTCTACTCTTGTTCACTTAGGTGAACCCATAAATTCTTTCACTCCAGCTAGTTCAAGTTAGTTTCTGCCACTTGAGACCGAAAGATTCCTGATTAATTCAGGTCCCTCCATAGGCCACTAAAATAGTACTCCCCTCCCCAACGCCGAAAAAAAAAAAAAGCAGAATTGAATGTTCACCAAAAATCTAGAGGGAGAAGAATATCCCAAACCTGAGACACAGTCAGTAAAGTCACAGAGGCAAAGGAGAAAAACTAGACTCCATAAAGACTCTGAATTTCTGCACCTTAAAAAAAATAGAAATCTTCGTAAGCTATCTGGTGTTTCTCTATGCCAACCGTAAAGCTTTGTACATCCTTATTAGCATTCAACAAATGGTGATTTACCTTCAAAAAGAAAACTAAAATATCGCAGTGTGTTTTTTAAATGAGAAATAAACATATGTGTACACACATGGCTCTACATGTGTGCACGTGTCTACACATGGGTATGTGTATCAACACGTGGCTTCTTTCTCCTCTATGGGGAAGATGTACACAGCTGTTTTTTGCCCACTCGGCCTCTGTTCCTGTTCTCTTGGCAACAGCAACTTGATTCTGTCCAGAGGAACTCGCTGCCCACTCCCTGTCCCTGATCCCTCTGCTGACTCTTAAAGTGTGTGTGTGATCCAGACGCAGTCAGCCACAGCATGGCATCCTCCCCGACCCCAGCAACTGGTGTGGGGAGGGGCGAGAAATCCCAGGGAGGTAAGTCTGACCCCATCAGAGCTAATCCCGAGAGCTCTGAGGACCACAGAAGGAAGCCTGTTTTACTTTTTCCCCCGTGTTGTTTACCAAAAAGAGAGAACCCAGGCAGTTGCTGGTGTCCCCATCGTCACTGCATGGGGCACGGCAGCCCTGAGGACCCAGCAAAGCGGAAACCTTCACGGAGACCTGGCAAAGAACAGGTCTCCAGTGACACCTGGGTCAGCGGAACCACTACGTGAAACCCTAAGTTCCAAGCT